GTCAAACATACGGCCCGGGGGCTGGATCCAGCCCTCCCAGACCTTTAATCTGGCCCTCGGCTGATTTTCTACCCAAATGTTTAATTTATATTTTCTATTAAAATATTGGTAATTTTCTGCTCTGCTTAACATAGCAGTGTCTCCAGCATCTCTGTGCGTGGCCCCTCCCACCAGAGCAGCACAAATGAAGACTTGCCTCTTTCCAAACGCTCTTAAAGCGTATCAAAGGATACGGCCTCTGGACCAAAATGAGTTTGTAGTTCCCCCTGTCTTTTTTTACCTATTGCTGCACCATAACTCTTAATTTAAGCAAAGAGAATTCGATATATTGTAATGGTTCATGATATTATTGAAAATACAATACGATATCAAGATATCACGATATTTTGGTTATTGTTACATCCCTAATAATTTATAGTGGCAGAAAAGTTACACAGTGCATCTTTAAGTAAAGTACAGACACCTAAAAATTACATTACTACTTTTACTTCATTACCTTCCACCGCTGATTGTACAACATTTATCCTCCCATTGCTAGGTCAACATTTGTGGATTTTCCCTCCAATGTTTCTGATTTGGTGTCCGCCCCTCAAATTGGTTAGTTTAACTATTTTTTTGTTTTGATTTTTACAGCAAACATCTCAGACTTTATGACTCCTTAGACTTTCTTAGATGTTAAGTTGACAAAATTCCCACTCCCCCTTTCCTGCTCTCGCTGTCAGAGCTTTAACCAACAGCGACTTATTGTTTTCCTTAGGATGAGACACATTTCACAACACTATTGTTTCTACTTCCTCCTTTGTTTCCCTCTGACAATATGATGCAAGAAAGGCAAAATTACAGGGTCAGCTACACGACTCCCCTTGTGGTCTGATGGAGAAAAACAGCCCGGAACCACTTTTAAAACCACTTTCATATTTATTTCAAATACATATGCAGACGCTGGCAATAAAAAGTACAATATATACAGTACATAGAGTAGAAATAGTGGAATGTTGATGAGTTGGGATAGGAAAGGAGAGAGGAGTAGTACTTTTCACACATGGTTCTGGTTAGTGGACGCCCATTAAGGACAGTGTGGTCTGGAAAATAAAGTGGATTTCACAGTTTTAAAGGCACTTCAAATACTACTGCCCACCAGCAATAGGTCACACTCAGACATGGGTTATAAAAGACGTGAATGGGGTAAGTAGGGGCCATTGTGTAAAAAAAGACATATATCACAGTGAAAGGCTACATACAGTCATTGGCTAACATCTCATGAGCTACCTAACATTATTTGGATAAGAACAGTACTTTTATTTACTTCAGTAACTTCTTGAATATCATTTGGTTGTAGATTTTTTTCTTTGGATTGTTATAAAGATGGCTTAGGCAATATGGCAAATTATTAATCAGTTTGTATTACATTTAATTTAAAACATGAAAAAAATTGCATTACAAACTTTCTGACCAAAAACAAGGCAGATTGTAATAGGTTCCCGTTGAACTCATGATGATTTGAGACATTTTATTCAGTAAAAATGTATTTTAATTGAGTCGTCAAAAGTACTAAAGTACTGGAGATAAAGACAGTGCATGGGAGATTGGACAACATAACATAAACAAATGAACTATACCATTTTAATTAAAAATTTTACATATTAGAGAGACATTCAACATAAGACGTGTATGCATTAGGGCTGTACTAATAATATCGATACTGCAATACATTGTTACGGACTTGTAGACTTGGCAATACGTATATTGATACAGAGATGCTGTATCTTTTAAGCTTTTAGAAATGCATTATAAATTGACGAGTTATTAGGGCTGGGAGATATAGGAAAAAAAAAACATTATTTTTTAAACTATAAGTCACATTTTTTTTCATAGTTTGGGTGGTCCTGCAACTTATAGTCCAGTGCGATTTATATATTAAAATTTTCACACTAACAGCTGCATGTCTCCTGCAGAAAAAGCCTCTATCCTGCTGCAAGTAGTGAAATATTCAGCCGAAAACGGTAATCGAGCAGCAGAAAGAAAGTTTGGAGTGAGCAAGAAACTCGTGAGGAACTGGCGGAAAGCGGAGATGGAGAACACAGCTTCACGGCAACCAGGAGGATGCATCGTGCAACTTTCCTGGAAGTCACTGGATGGATCGACAAACCTGGACTAATTCTAACTGAAACTGATGCTGAGTCTGACGACAGCTACGTAGAAGAGGAAGAAGCTTTCCCTTTACCTCCAGAGGTCACGGAGTTGCTCAGAAGTGACACCGAGGATGAAGAATTTAAGTTAGTGATTTGGAGTGAGATGGAGCGTTTTGGTAAACTTGTTTATGTTATAGTTATCTGAAGAACTGTTCATATGTGACGTTAACAGCCTGTTGTTCTCTGTTCTATTTTTATTACTAGAACTTGCCTTTCAAGATGAAATGTCAGTTCCTGGTCTCTGATTTTATAAAATAAATTTCCCCAAAAAGTGCGACTTATAATCTGGTTTGACTTATATAGTGTGTTTTTTCTTCTTCATTATGCATTTTTTGGCTGATGTGACTTATACTCCGGAGCGACTTATAGTCCGAAAAATACGGTAATTTACTTTTTTCATATTTAGGGATTGGGAAATTAAACGAATATATCACTGAAATATCATTGATTGTGAAAATAAGAGTAGGCAATTATGGTTAATAGACATTAATGACGCCAAATTTCAATATCGTCCCATGGCTAGTCATATTGATCAAGATTTTCAATTTTTGTTAGTCTTTTCAAAAGCAAAATTAAAATGGATCTTTAGTGCTGATTTCATGAACATAAACAATACAGACTTTTAATCAGTGTCATTTAACCCAAACATTTTTACTCCACAGTTCGACCTCAGCTCCAAACCACATTCTTTTACTGACAGAGAATTGGCTCTTAAAATTCACTCATATCATTGACTATTAAACGTGACTGATTCACCCTTAACTCACCCTTACCCTTAACTACTTGCTGATTACTGCATTAATGCTGACTCTGTTGGCCTGAAAAAGTGACATATTCAAAGGTCACTTTTAATCAAAGCATTGATTTTGTGAACTTTTAACACCAGTTTTAAGGGATATCCATGCATTAGGACATGTGTCGTTTCAAAGTCGAAGCACTGGGGTTAAGTCATTCATAATTACATGTAAATTTACTTGGCATTTTTCCTGTAGAATTTAGATTTTGAGAAAAATCATTTGAAAAGACATGATATTTAACTGATAGTAGAGTATAGCTTCATGCTTGGTTTGCCACATGGGAAAGTCATGCTGTGAATGTCTCTTATGTGTAGCACGCTTGAAGTCCCCCGATAAGTCTTGATAGTGATAGTGGAAGTGGTGGGGGGAGGGTTGGATCCGGAGCCTTTGTGTCTGGGTTTCAAGTTCACTGTTCGAAAAACCTCTCCGTAACTTTTCCATCGCTCTCTCCAAAAAGATCATTAGATGGAAAAAGAGACGCAGGCACTTTCATTTCACGCTCCAGTTGAGAGAAAGTGAGAATGCACCGCTATGAAGGTAAAACGATAAAACTGAAACCGTAAACAAAGTACTCAATTTCTACCATGACATAAAGTACAAATTTTGAGATATTTCTTAAAACATCCGTGGTATATGTTTGCGTACTGTGAGTGTGTGTGTGTAATAGTCTGTAAAGTACACACTGGCAGCAGATGAAAGCGTCCGATACTGCAGTCCTGGAGGGAGGTTGGTGCTAATCGCGGCTCTAATATCAACTCTCTTTGGCTGAGGTCATAGTGAACAGTGCTCTGACAGAGACTGAACACAGATGCTGAGGAGCAGATTAGGTTACAAAAACACAAGGAGGGAAATAACAGTTTTAAGTGGGCTGCAAATCCCAACGGACTTAAGCCTTCAAAGTATCACAGAGTCTAAAGGTTTCAGTGGGAAAGTGGTACATTCAAAATAGAATATTTTCATGTATACTGGTTATTAGACACATATTACGCTTTCTAAATTTGCTAGGCCAGATGATGGATTAGGATTTTTGGATTAGAATCTACGCTTCTAGAGATGAGTGGGAATATGAGAAAAATATCGAATTACGATTATTCTAAGAAGCACTGCCATTGTGATTAGATTAGTGATTTATGATATAATATGATAAAAATATGATAGAATTATAATAGGATTCTGTTTGTTGTTTATGGAGGAAATTATGGTATGATACAAGATTTGCAACTTTTACAACTGCATCCATTCAATTTGTGTTTTCAATTTGATTACGATTAATCTTGCAGCTCTATATGCCTAGTCATCAGACAATGTTAAGTAAACATTCAAATTAACACTCTTGCACAGTTTAAAGATTGTCTATATTACGATAAACTGACTCTTATGAGCTTTAAGTCATGTTAGAATCTTGTTACCTCCTCAGAAACATACTTGAGTTGTGTTTTGTTTTGTTTCATCATTCCCATATGATTCTACTGAAAAGGTATTGAGTTTAAAACACAGTGAAGCACTTTCTGAAGCACATGACATCAGAACGTGGGAGTATTTTCTGTTTGAGAGAAGAACAGAGCCTAAATATGCAGGGTTTGTGTGTTAAACATGTGAAACACAACACAACTCTAGATCTGTTTGTGATGAGGATATTACAACATAAATCAGAAAATAGCGTAATATAGGCTCTTAAACTTTTTAACAAAACACTACTTTCTTGTATTGGCAATTTGTTATCACATGTATCTATTATCAACCAACCACCAGGGGAATCGATGGTATTGGTCAAGTTGTGATTATACTTATTATATAAAGTTTTAAACCAGCAGTATTATGAAACGTTTTAACCTATACATGGTATGAACAAAACTATGTAATATACAAAACCATTTTAAGAAACTATAGTATTTTCTTCCATAGGAGAAAATCTCATAACACTGTATGTACAGTTTTAGTCGTAGACAGACGTGGATATTCACAGGAGCAGAATGCATATGATGTAATTTGTCCACAGACCACAGGGGCAGTGTTGAGTCTCATAGCTGCTGCTCCTCAAACATGATCTGAGCGTACACTGTCCCGTTGCGACTCGCCTTTGTCTCTGGTAAAGGCTTGACCAGGTCCAGCTCTGCGTATGTCAGGTTCTCCTCCACAATCTTTGGCTGTAACAAACACACACAATTTGTTGTTTTATCACATTTGAACATTTATTCAGTCCATCTACACCATAACGTTACCCTTCTCTGACTGTAGTTTGTAGTCTGTCTGTAGGCTATTCTAAAAGGAGGGTAGTAGCCTACTCTATTACTGCTTTTACAAACACAGCTGAACCTGTGTTGCCAGTGCCTAAACTTGCATATAGAGGACACATTTTTCTCATTCTCAGTATATGGACTAGACGTAGACGTGGTTTCGTGGAAACTGTCTGACCTCGCAGCGTTAGGATTCGTTCGCTTGGGTACTTAGGCCAGTACTTTTTTTATTTAACCAATCACTGCTTTTTGCTCATGATGCATGTAATGCACAAATGGGCAATAACATCTTTCCCCTTGATAAAATTCACCAAACATTCTCTTTGTTCCGGATTTAAATCCTCGATCTCGGGAATCGTTGTCAACACAGAATGTCTGTCTGTTAACTGTTGTGCTGTTCCACAAAAGCGACCCAGACAGGCGTTTCAGTTTGACATCGAGTCAAAAGTCAAAAGTCATGAGTTTGACTTCACAGGTCTTTGCTGATTGGCCGGTGCGTGCTCTACAACTTCTGGGCTTCTTTCAAAACCGTCTAGTGAATTCCGATTCTTGACCTAGTCGCTGGAGAGAAATTAAATTGAGCTGAGACACTAGGTGGTGCTGGCTATATAAAGACAGGATAATGGATAATGTTCTTGAGACCCAAACATGTCAAATATTTTTGTAATAAAGACTAACTGCATGACTTTTCATAAAATAAAAATAAAAAGAAAACCTCTATTAATGGGATCCCTCTTAAATTAATACTTCAATCCAACATGCCCAGAGATTTCACAGTTTAAAAAACAAAACAAAACAAATTTATGAAATCCTGCTGAGCTCAGCATGTAAAATACTAATTGAGCAGATTAGTACTCGAGGACATGAGTCTTGGGAGGCGGCTCCAGTGGTGAGAAAAGAAAGCGGCATGTACAGTATGGCAACTATTTTCTTTTGCAACACTATTAACACTAATTAGAGGGCTGAGGATGTTGTAGCCTGGAAGCTTGAATTAAAATCATAAAAAGTGTCAAGTAATGAGACAATTAAACCAAATGGCTCCAGCACAGTGGACAAAGCGCCACAGGGAGATAGTGCTGGTTAGTCTGTGCTCTTGATTTGGTTAATGTGGCTGTGGTCTGGTCACGTGACATCCTCCAGAACTTTGGCGCTGTCTTAGCCAAAACCCAATTACCCGTTTCATGAGCTGTTTGGGCCACCAAGAGGAGAATGACCTCATGTGCACTTTTTACCACAACAAGCTCTGCATTGGAAAAACAAAATTCTGTTTTGAACTCACAAATCTTACTTATTGGCTTGCCTCAGCCTCTGTAGAATTTGACAGGACCAGGATTGCCCCCTGCTTTGACGCTTTGGGAGTTGTTAGTTGGAGCAACAGTTGAAGGCCACAAGACAGATTTACTCATTTGAACTGTCAAACATTCTTGCAGATAGCTGGGTAATCTCTTAAATGTATTTCATTTAAATGTAATTACCAGTTGTGTTAGGAGTCTTTGTGGTATTTGGTCAATACTTTATGGCTTTCAAAATATTATTAGACACTTTTGTAGAAGTGTTGCTCGGTTGCTTGGTATTGCTCTACAACCATTTAATAAACACTCTACTTGTTGTAGTGAAGAGAATGTCATCATTTATAGATTTTTTTATATGTCAGTGGTAAGATTTAGTCTGATTCATCAGCTGGTTTCACCGTCTGACCTCGCAGCATTAGGATTCGTTCACTCGACGGTAGGCGGGTAATTTTTTTATTTAACCAGTCGCTGCTATTTGGTCATGACGTATGTAATGTGCCAAATCCCGTAGGAAGAAGGGCAACTTTTTTTCCCTTGTTGAAATTCACCAAACATTCTCTTTGTTCTGGCTTCCTCGATCTCGGGAATCGTTGCCAACACAGAACGTATGGCTTCGTCTACATCCATCTCGACCGCTTTGTTTACTGTTGTGCTGCACAAAAGGGACCCAGACAGACGCTTGAGTTTGACGTCATGGCTTCACAGCTTTTCGCTGATTGGCTGGTGCGCGGTCTACAAATTTTGGGGTTCTTGCAAACCGTCTAGTGTATTCCAATTCCTGACATAGTCGCTGGAGAGAAATGAATTTGAACGGATGCACTAGGTGGTGCCAGCCTGGCTAAGTAAGATTAGCATAGCTTTGAGTTCATGGGATTATCCAGATACAGAATACATGTTTCTTTAATACTTTATGAAGATGTGAGTCTGGATACCTGTGAATCTTCACAAGTTCAGGTGTGACATTTGGATTAGCCAATTGGAGACACACATGGTTCATCCGTATAAAAAAATAAAAATAAAAATGCAGCAGCTTAAGAGGAAAAAATATCACAAGGGACTGAAAAAATTGAACATTTCTGCAGCATTAATGAGTAAAGCACTAAACTCTGTTCATTTGATGACCAATGACATGACTAGTGACTGCCTTTGTTTCACCTGTCACTGAAATAAACAAATCTGATTACACGGTCATGTTTGGTTCTGACTGTCCAGACTCAAATCCATATGTATAAGAATTACATTCTGGATTTGCCAGACAAGGGATCCATATGCAGAAATCAAAAGATAATCCCATTTAAAGGCCCCATATTTCACAGTTCTTCTTTATTTGTGTTTTTACCTGTAGCACTTTGAGATTATTTTATGTAAAGTGCAATATAAATAAAATGTATTATTATTATTATTATTATTATTATTATTGTGTTATAATATTTTTTTCTCATCACAAACAGACCTTGAGTTGTGTTTTGTTTCATTCATATGTTTAACACACAAATCCTACATATTTAAGCCGAGTTCCTCTCTCCGAGTTCCTCTCTCAAAAAGGAAACAATCTTACACCTTGTGACATCATGGGGTAATTTGTTTTTACATATACATGTGCTCCACTGTGTTTTTAAAATCCATACCCTTCAGCCTTGGAATTGCCAGTCTGAACAGAAGGTGAAAAGGTAGCTGTCAATTTGAAAACTACCATTACATCTTAAGGTGGAACAGAGCATTTTGAGCTTTGAAGGTGTAGACAGACTAATAATAAAGGATTACTTTATCATGTATGTACGAAACAAAACACAACCTCAGGTATGTTTTTGATGAGGTAACAACATTTTTACATGCTTAAAGCTCACAAAGTCAATTTTGTTTAATAGAGGACCTTTAAGAGCATAATTTTGTAAAGCTGGTACTCACCAACAAAACCTTCCTGGGTTGCGGTTTTAAAAGCTTGGGTTTTCTTTTGTCTCCAATTGGAACTGCAAAGACACAACACAGATTTGAGTATACGTTCTGGCAGCTACAAAGCAAAAGCAAGATGTTTACGTGACCAGTGAGAACAAGACCTCAACCATGTGAACAAGAATGTAAAACGGCCATCCCGGAGGACTTCCCTGCAACATCAGCAATAAATTAAAGCAAATTTTGGGGAGCCTCTAAGCCAACATCTGAAACTGCGAGTCTGACGTGAGCTAAAATATAGATGTATTTGCTTTTCGGGTTAAAAAAAAAGACATACTGCTTTCCACTTGCTAATTATAGGGTCAAACTGGTGTGGCAGTGGGTTGTTATGGGCAAGTATGTTTTCACAGTCAATGAAAGGAAACATCTCTGGAAGTCAAGAGTTTACATGTGCGAGGGTGGACGAGTTTGAGTGCCAACATGGAAAACCAACTAGACTTAAACCAGCAAAACCTAAAGATTAGAACTATGCCATGGTGAAAAGAGAAGTAGATGACTGAAAAATTGTAGTAGAAAAAGTACACTACATGGGTAAAAATGCAGCAAGTTACAAATAACAGCTGCCTAATAATTTGAGTAGGATTTTTTATGCGCTCAAAAAAAAAATATATGCATGAAAAAAACTAGGTGCAGAAATACTAATTATATTTAATGCAATTTTAGTAACATTTTAGATCAGTCTATTGTACTTCTAAGTGGTATTAATTGTCAACACATTGACCATGTTAACTTGTATTGTTTTTAAAATACTATACTAGGCCTAAATATTAGCATTGTTAAAGTTTCACACTTTTGTTTTTGACGCCCCCACTCTTAAGTCCCCTCTCCCTTTGCTCCAAGTGCTAATTCACTCCCCCTTCAGAGCACTATCACTTTACAATCGGTAAGCATTCCAAATCCAAAAACGCTCACTTTGTCTTCTTATGTAAATTACATGGTCCTTTTTTTGGATGTGAAATGCCCGACCCGTTTCCCCTATGTATGTTTTAGAGGCCTGACCATGGCAACAGCTGATATACGACACGTCACCACCAACACTGGTGACAGTTCTGAAGATCGCTTGCAGTTGGCAGCCGAAACATGTCAACATGATAAATACATCTACTGTATTGTCTTTAACATATACATTTCACTAATGAAACTACTGCACATTGTAAACATGAAGTTTTAGCATGTTGTTTTGTATCATGTTTTGGTATATCTATGGAAAAGTGCTGTGAAGGAGCATGGGTGAAGTAGGCTTGTGGCCTGAACTTGGATAGGCTCGTACTGCTAACCCTAAGGAGGGTTCAATCATGCATGGATGACATCTAAAACCTCTCCAGGCTTGTTTTGATGAGGGAACAGCACTGTAACATGGTGGAACGCTCCATAATGTTGATTTTGCATAATAACCCCTCTTTAAATACAAAATTAGATTCTTTTAATGGTTTTACAGAAGTTGTTTAAAACCAGAATCTGCTGGCTCTCAGAGCTTAAGGCAGTCAGAACAAGCACTGCAGTTCTGTTGTACATGTTTATAGGGATTGAAAGTAGCAGATACAATAGTGAGCCTGAAGCTAATTACAGTTACATGGCTAAAATTATACTACTTCTTGTACTCAAGGAAAAGTATAGTTACATAGCTTAAAATATGCTCAATCACAAATATAAGTAATTTTCCAAAGTTTTCTGAGTAGTATTTTTCATGCAGAAAAAAATGCATGAAAATACTCCTCATATATAATATATTTGTAATGATGTGTATTGAGTGATGCTGATGTATGACCTTTAGCTGGTATTTCTGGGGGAGTCTCCTCTTGGTAATGTCTGCTTCTCTTCTTCCTGTAACGCCTTTGTTTTTTGGGCAGAGCCGGAGATACACTGATGACACTGGTGACTGTCTCTCCAGAGCTGGAAGAAATACAGAAATTTAAACCTAGGCAAAACAAGTTAATTTGTCCATTTTAGCTTCAGTAACAATTCGATTTCTGTTTTTCTGTCGATCTTCTTTTCAGCCCTAATATTCTAAGTTTTCTGATAGTGAGTCTGAACAAAAACATATGTAACTGGATGTCAAAAAACCCCACCAAGATTTACAGTACTAGTAACTGCACAATATAAAAATGTGAAATGGAAATTTAGTAAAAAGTAACATCTAAATCTTAAATCCCTATAGTTGAGCTCAAGGACAGGTCAGAATTCTATGTAGGAATTTGCTGTTTAACTGTCAGATTGTTGATGCTTTGACCTGGTTTATGGTTCATATAATTCCTGGGCCTATTCACATAACATGTCAACATAAATAAACAAAATCCTTTTTTCAAGGATCTGATTGTTGCCACTTTAAATGACTTAAGATTAAAATGGCAAGATTATGGAGCCAGTACCTAACAAATAAGGATAGGGCTCAACTTTTGTGAATCATAAATGACTGATCTTATATTAGGCAAAATTGACCTTTGTGAGGTTTAAATCATGTTACCAACTCAAATACTTACTTGAAATTGTTTTGTTTCATTCACACATGTTTTACTAACCCTTTATTATTGGACTGTTTACATTTTCAAAGCTCAAAATGCTCTATTCCACCTTGTGACATCATGAAGTGGTAGGTTTCAAGTTAACAGCTCCTTTTACCTTTAGTTTAGTAAAGATGAGCAATTCCATCTAAATGATTCTAGTGAAGGTGTATGGAGTTTAAAAGCCCAGTGGAGCATTTCCTCTCTTACCACATGACATCACAAGGGGGAACAGAGTGTTTTTAGTTTGATAGAAGAAAACATCCTAAATATGCAGGGTTTGCGTGGAATGAAACACAATACAACTCCAGCTGTGTTTGTGATGAGGAAACAACATTATAACATAGATCAGAATATGAGCCCTTTAAGATATATATTACTATATTTAGTAATGTAAATCTCTCATAGAGTTATGTAGGCATCTGCCCTCCATCTAAAACTATGGTGTCATATTTTTTTAAAACATAAATGAAATTTTGACCTTTGTCCTTACCTGTTCTGTGGACTTTTGACCAGGTGGTAGGCCTCTGCAATGACAAAATGGTGTGAGATGTTGCTCATATTGTTGTCTTTTAATAGAGAGTGTCTCAGAGGATGTAGCTGTGTTTTTTGAGAACAAATGGAGGAAAGCTTGTTTGTGAAGCCGACAGGACAGTGTGTATATGTGTGTGTGTGCGTGTGTGGCGGGAGTCTGACCTTTTAACCTCTGTTTCCTGTGGAGGTACTGGCAGGTGACAGTGACCGTGAACATACACATGCACAGCAGCCCAACGGAGCAGATCAACACCGCACACAGGTACACGTCTGAAACACCACCACACATCGTACTTCATTAAAATACACCAAAAAGTTGATGCAAAATAAGGTCAAGAAAACATATGATGTTTTTCTCAAGTACTGGGAGTAAAACTATAACATACACTACCGGTCAGAAGTTTTAGAACACCCTAATTTTTATAGTTATTTATTGCAATTCAAGTCATGCATGTCCAAAGAATACAAAGGTAAATACTGAACAACCAGAGGTTCAAAAAAAAAAAGATAAAAGGTAACAAAACACAAGTCCAAGCTCTGCCAAAACCACCTCAGGTAAACAGAAAAAGATGGTGAGCTTGAAAACATGGAGTCTGCCAAAGGTGGCTACTTTCATGAGTCAAAAGTTTAGAATACGTTTTGGTCAACAGTAAACAGTAAACAACTGGAAAAAGTGTGGTGTTCTAAAACTTTTGACTGGTAGTGTATGCAGATGATTCATTTTTGTACTGCAATATTGATCTAAACTGGCTTAGTATTAGAAAATTATTCATTTACATCTTGTTCAAAACTTCAGAACACAGACACACTGCTTCTTGGAAGTGGCATTCCACTTTAGCAAGCTATACTTTTTTGTTCTAGTGTGTTTTGTTATAGAATCATGGCAGTGGAACATCCTTGAACCCTACATACATGACACTGAGTTTCGCATTGGTTGAATAGTTAGAAGTACAGAGATCCTGGTGGAGATAGGGGTTAGGTGACAACTGAAATTTTCCGAGCACCAAAGCCTCAGATGCGGGTCAATGTAGCATTACTCAAACATGTATGAACCAGGTTAAGCTACTGTTAAAAGAACACTGCTATACACACTTGTCCCCCTAAACTTTATTGATCCTCGTAGGGAAATCTGTCTTCTGCATTTGACCTCTTGACCTCTTTCAATCTGCAGTATCAGTATTCAGCATAGTAGTTTTTATGGAATGGTCCTGGTGTTGTACTTCTTAAACTTTCAGTGAGTATTAGTATATATACTGCAAATTTCGATTGTCACAATTAATTGATTTTAACCAAATTACATTTTCTTTTATATTGAGGGGTTGTTGGTTTAACTCTTAAACTCTTGACTTTGAACTTCGAATGAACTATTTGAAGTTAACTGTGTGTATAGTGAGTGTGTTGTATAAATGTATGTAATGTATGTAATGATGTATAAAGAGTGTGCTGGTGTTATGTACTTTTGTGTGATTGCTGCTGTACTTTTCCCTGTACTGTAGATGATTTTACATCAACCTGCCGAGGGACTGAAGATGGAAATTAGCCACGCTGGCTATAATCTTTACATATTTACATTTTTTATGTTCATTAATATGTGCTGTCCTTTAAAAATAAATAAAATAAGAAAAATAAGAAAATATATTGAGGTGAATTTGAGGAAACATTCTAATATTAAGCCTTTATTATCTTACTAAATGAACTTTATTTTTCCATGTTGAATTGGACTATTTCGTCCGTCAAATGCTTTTCTTTCACTGAGATGTTATTGCTTTGTCTGGAGTGTTTCACAATATGCTTATAGGTCAGATCTGTGGAGAGGCGACCCCGCTCACAGTCAGAATGCCTGTTTTTTCTAGGTATTTTTGAGCTAATTTTGAATGTCATACTGCGGAACTTTCTAGCCAGAGCATTGACATATTCAAAGAAACAAACAAGTGACGGACCCCCAGCCAAAAAGTTACATAGTGTACCTTTAAATGGAGTATTCAAATGTCATTTTAATATAAGTTCACAGTTACTGAAGTTCGAATGTGCCTGTGTAAATTTGTGGTTTATATAAAATGTAAACTTTTTGGAAGAACCTTTTTAAGACATGTCAGAATGAATGGGTGTGTTGTGCTAACCCTGGCTTATATCCAATATGCACCCACCTTAGCTTTAGAAAACTCCTACATGTTTAAAATCATAACACCCAGTAAATTCACCACAGCTGTGAAAAGCACTTGGGCCTGACTGCTCTATTGTACACACACGTTTCCCAGAGTTATTTAAGGTAGTCTTGTACATCCTCTTGGCTATTTCTGCCCACCGAGGTCAAACCATCCCCTTGTAAATCCACCCAGCTGAGTACAATGTCCCGGCCCACCTTCAAACAGGCTCCACAGGCTCTCTTTGGCTTTGGTGGCAGGCAGCACGTGAACTGGAAGAGAGAGAAAAGAGAAGGAATCACGTAAAGTTCAGAGTCATCACTGTGGCTCCTCTGATTACACACTGACTGGAGTTAAATACAGCACAGGGGAAGACAACAGGCGGAGAAAGACATCCTCCCAATCCTCATGTCTCTAGGTCACTGGAAAGACACTTTTAACTTTAACTTTTGTGCTACATTTTAGGGCTGTAATGGATTAAAGAAATACTTGGTCGACTAAAGACATGTTTTGTTGTTTGATAAGTCGATTAAAAAGGGGGCGTGGCAAAAGCTCTCAAAACTATCACATATCTTGATGTATCTGATCCAAAATGAACCCCCATGACCACAAGTGTACAAGAGTTTTACACAAAAAGTATATTTTTTATATTGTATTTTAGAAACTAGTTTTAAGAAACTATGTAGATTCAACTTTTTAAAAATTTATTCTGCCCTTGTAATTACCAAAAATACAACATCTTCAGCTAAGTTTGTTTAACACACCATCAACCAATTAATCGACTAAACCACTAAAAACAGATGTTATCCAGTATAGTTAGCGTGATTTTGAAAGATAATTGGAAGAATTTTTACTTTTAAGAGTTTAAGAGTTTTTCTTAATGCTAATCAAAAAGTCACAGCTGTTCTCACAATAAACACAAGAACACTAAAATTTGACATTGTGATGGCATTTTGAAGTCCAATCAGAAAAGCTTCAGAACTGTTTTGAATAAATTCATTGACTAGATATAATGCGGTGTGTGAAAGAGATTGGTGGTGGTCGAAGGGGCTGATGGCACAGAAAGGCAGCCTCGCTTCAGTGTGCCCCAGGGCAGTTGTGGGGAAATTGTAAAGCAAATTTGAACATCTGGAAAAGCACTGTATAAGTGCAATTAATTATATTAATCATAATTAAATGTAAACACAAAATTGTTTAGTCAAACACAGTCGTTTTTAGACACTTCAGGGATGACAACTACAAGTAATAGTGATCTAGTGACACCCAGAAAACAATAACAAAAAACAGTTTGATGGTAACTGTCAGAGGTGGGAGCAAATTGTTGTTTTACAAGTCTTAAGTAAGTCTCAAGTCTTTGGCCTCAAGTCTGAGTCAAGTCCCAAGTCAAACACAGGCAAGTCCAAGTCAAATCTCGAGTCACTGGCCCATAAGTCCAAGTCAAGTCCAAGTCGTCTGCTTTGAGCATCAAGTCATTTCAAGTCTTTAAACTATAGTTTAGGTTTTTGCAATTTAACTAAACTGTACTTAAAAAAAAAAATCATAGTATATTTCTATATGAGTATTTATAGAGTATCTAAGAGTTGTAGAAATGTAAATTTTTCCTTTTTAAATGTTTTGACAAGATCTTAAAGTGAATCATTACGGTCAGAATAGAAAGAATTCAGATTTAAAAGTGTTTCTCAAGTCTTCTAAAGTCACAGGCCTCAAGTCCGAGTCAAGTCACAAGTCACTGACCTTCAAGTCCAAGTCGAGTCCCAAGTCTTAGTCCATTTTCTCAAGTCAAGTCTCAAGTCCTCAAAATAATGACTAAATTCTGACTCAAGTCCAAGTCCCCACCTCTGCTAACTATAATATCAGAATGTTCTTTCTAAAAACAAAGAATGTGTTCCTTGATCTTGTCTAGTTAAATTTATCATAATGGAACAAACGCAATGCCAAAACTTCCTCCGTGCAGCTCACCACATCCACCCACTGCACGGCCAAAGACGGAACTGACTGCCAAAGATTTCCGAATAGCCATTGTTTAATCTGCCCCTTCGCAGGATATTAGGCAAATAGATCACAGTGAGTGTAGTGATGACTAATGACACTCTAGTCTCGATGAGTAATCCGTCAGTATTACTCGAGTGTAGAATGACTGTGAAAATATGTGTCCCACTTGAACTATATATCCTGCCCCACACGTCGCTCTCATGTGGCCGCAGGAGACTTAACACTAGTGAGGCGCTGGGAGCAACAGCAGCCATCAAACCTGGCCCAAACCACCACCAGCTGATCTAAACCAGGAGCAGCCGACCACAGCCAAAAACACGTGCGATGTCTGACGCGCCTCCATCAAAATAGCTCATCTTGGTTCAAAAATGGCAGCCAAACATCGCAATTTTCTTCATGAATCAGCAGCGTTCAAACCAAGGGACAGCAAAAGATCAAGGCCGAGGAGGGCAGACGCCACATAACCTATAATAACACAGTGTATAAAGACACCACATGACTTTGCTCTTTTTCTACTTCAAATTAAGCAGTAGATTCCTTTGGTTTGGAACGTGACACCGATCCCACCTATCGCACGGAAAAAGTGGACCCAAAGAATGCAAAGGGGAACACAGAAGTGCTGACGGGGCATACGCAAAATGCTAAACAATAGGTTTCGTTTCTGTATATGGTCGGTCCATATACAACTCAAATGTTTCAACTCAGTGTACTTTTGTCCTGTAGACTAGCAGGGTATAATCAAAACACATTAGGCTGAGACAGACAAGTGGCTCTACATGCACTACTGCTTCACCACACAGCCACACAGCAGCCCGTAGAATAAATATAACAGCCAGAGACATAGCTTTTCACTATTATAACTGACATAAAAGTAAGATTCAATGTTTTACTGAATTAATATTAGTGCTGTCAAATGTGAAATATGATAAAACACATTTAATCGAATTGACCGCCAGTTTTAAAGGACCCATATTACGCTATTTTCTGATCTCTGTTATAATGTTGTTTAACACACAAATACTGTATATTTAGACTGAGTTCTTCTCTCAAACAGAAAACACTCGTTTTACGTTGTGATGTCATGTGGTACAGGAAGTGCTCCACTGTGGTCCACTGTGTTTTAATCATACACATCCACTAGAACCATTTGGATAATTTCAGCCCTGGAATTGCCAATCTCTACTGAACTAAAGGTAAAAGGTAGCTGTTAACCTGAAAACTACAGCTTCATGACATCACTTCTTTATTATTAGTCTGTCTACATCTCCAAGGCTCAAAATGCTCTGTTATACCTTGTGATGTCATGAAGAGGTAGTTTTCAAGTTAACAGCTACCTTTTACCTTTAGTTCAGTAGAGATTGGGAATTCCAGGACTGAAATTATCCAAATGACTTGAGCATAAAAACACAGTGGAGCACTTCTTGTATCACCACATGACATCACAAGTTGGAACAAACTGTTTTCTGTTTGAGAGAAAAACTGAGGGTTAGTGTGTTAAACATGTGCAAATGAAACAAAACACAACTCCGGGTATTTTTTTTAGGAAACAACTTTCTAACATAGATCAGACATTTGTGTAACAGTAGGGTGAACACATTTCCATTTGTGAAAACCAAGACACCTTACCGGGGCTGGGGGTGGGGCCTCGACACTGAACTACTCTCACCTCGCAACCTGTGCACATGGCCTCCGACTTGTTCCGAATGGGACGGAGAATTTCTTGTACAAGTCATTGTTAAATGCGCATTTGTGCTTCAGCATGTTGCAGACTGAGCGACTGTTTGTGTCTGCTCGCTCCTTCTGAGTTACAGAGAGCTACGAGAGCCACTCAATTTAATGGCCCAGTGATTGATTGATTATTTATTTCAGTCACAGATATATTTTGACATTAATTCACATTCAGTCATATTTAACATACACAGGCCGAAAAGGTGTAGGCTGAAGCTTAAGCTTATTATGCTTACCCTTTATTCCTTTGTCAGAGCATCATCTTAACACCAGTTCATCTTGATAAATACAGCAAGAGGAAACAAACTAATCAGAAACAGTACAACAAAGTACTACAGCACACACTAAGTATCATATTTCATGTATCTGTCCAGAGTTAAACATTTAAACTTCTTTATAAAGTGAAAGAGATTGGTGCACAATTTTAGGTTTTCTGTACAGTTGTTCCAGAGGTCCACCCCTTTAACAGATACACAAAATTTCATAATGTTTGTTCTAATTTTCTTTTTTTTTTATAAACATGGCTGTGCCTCTGAGCTCATATTGGCTCTTTCGAATTTTGAACATGTTCTGAAAGATAATGAAAAAAAAAAAAAAACCCGGACACCCAGGACAGGACACAAAAAACGGACATGTCCGGGGAAAAACGGATGTTTGGTCACCCTATGTAACAGACTCTTAAACACATTTATCTAACACTGACAGCTCTAATAAACAATCATGCTTCATATGGTCTTTCTATACTAACCCATTCACATTTTATTCACATATAAATCTGCAGTGTCCCTCACCATACCTTCCGAGCCACTGCCGCCCACTCAATAAAATAAATCGTAATAAATGTAAAAGAAAACGTGGTATGACTTGAGCATGGCAATTTAACCAAGCCCTACTGTAAACCTTGCCTAGTGTAAATCCTGTCTATGTCAGATGATATAGTCCCAGGCTCGGTGAATGGCAGCAGCTGCATGTTGGAATAATTACAGCACACATGGGTCTTCTCTACTGTTTCCCATGAAGCTGCCTCTATCCAACTTCTTTTGACTCAATCTTTTCAATAGCGGCATCAGATAACAGTGGGAATGGCCAGCACAGACCAGGTTTTGTTCAGCTTCGCCACAAAGCTGCTTTCAAATGCTCTCCGTGCCATTTATGCTCGTCCAAACCCGAGACTCATCCATACATAGAAATGAGAATAATAAGCCCCTATACAGCATTATCACTGGTTTAATTCACCACATCATCAACGAGTGGATGTGAATGTGACTCTCTGTTTTCTAGAGTTTCTCAATTGTTTAAAGAAAGTTCAAAAATTCACTTCCTGATGGCTCCATTGTATCTCTTTATGTCACGTGTAATAATAGAAGTGACTGTGAATATTTATTCCACTTGTTAGGCCGTAAACAGGAAGAATCTTGGTTTTGGTGGTGAATCTAGGGTTTTGTACATACATTGCCTCAAATAACATAGTAAACAATATTATACTGGAGAGTAGGGGTGTGCAAAAATATTGAAATATTGAAATATCGATATATCGTTTAAAGTGATGATA